TGATGGCAACCGTGAGTTAGCCAAAAATAATTCGCAATCTGCTCCAGAAGATATGCCTGCGAATCAGAGTGCTGGCTAGGTTTAAGTACTTGCCAAGCCCATTCTTCAACGGAGGTATTTAAGAATTTGTGCAATGCTGAGTGGTAAAAAACACATTATAGTTTTATCGTGAATCTGCGGTGTATTTAATTAGCTTATCAAATCAGGCACGCACTTTTGCAATCCAGCAACACCAACCAAACAAATGTTTCTTTTTCCTAAAATTAGCGCCATGTTCTCTCACGTAAGCAGCTTTAGTTAGTGACGGATTTCTGGCAGCCGAATTCGAAGCGTGAGGTGTTATTGTTCGTGACTGCGATTGCTGTCTGGAGATTCAAAGTATCAACGCGTGGTGCCTACAAGCATAGTTCACGTGGTTCGAACCAAATCCTGCAGAATGCGTAATCACGCTACCAACTCGTACAACCGAATCCGTAACTCGGGCTTCGGAGGTGATGAAATTTGCGACATGTGTCCCAGTGTTTCTGTCATCCTTCATGCATTTTCAAGACGCCCGTCATCATGCATTTTATATCCCATGCACGCTAAATTGCTGCTCCACGTCAGCATTAACCAATGAATTAAAATTAGTGCATTTTAAATCTTTCGGAAGCAAATTGTTCGCATGCTATGTCTGCATCAAAAATCCAGCATGACGAAAGGTAGGCTTCAGGTATCATCTGGAAAGCACTTTGATTGCAGTTTTCCTCAAAATTAGCTAGCATCTTAACTAGCATTTATGCAACCATGGCAAAGAAGATGGCATATTCACGATCACCAACCAAAGAGGTTTCATTCATGTTACAAGCTGTGTGGTTTCGGCATCAGAATTTGGGCTTAACTGAATCTACCCATGTCTGCAGGCACACTCAAGCAGTAGCCAGTCGACAGGGAATGATGATCTGATTGATCTAAGTGAAGACACTGTAAATAATGCGTTTTAGTAGAACACAACTAGAATGATGAATTTAGCGGGTGCGTCTGAGTTCGAGGTGGCTGGTTAATCCAGACGCCACAGTTTACGTATGTCTCGCGGTCACGATTATCAGCAGTTGTTGCATCGTCAACACGCTCAAAGCAATGTATCACGAGCATAATGCGTGACCCCCTGCCAACTTTTCCAAATCAAATAATCATTCGTACATGAGTTTACACTATTTCATTGCTGCTCGACGCTGAGCTACCACCTGCGGTCCTCTGTCCACCAAGTCAAAACCCTTTTCCTGTAGTTTGCTGTACCACCATTGCCTTGGAACAGGTCACTTGACCACTAGACGCCAGTTTTCTGTTTCGTAAAATATTTGCATTCCATAATCATTGTGTTTAGACAGCTTTGGAACCATTTTCAGGCCCTCGTTAGTTTTCGTGATAGACTTCGGCTATCGCAGGTGGTGTCTGATTCTGTAGTGTTCAAATCCAATCAAAATTTTCCAGGTTATGCCTAAAAGTAATACGAATTCTAACAAATGGTATTCATAGATGTCCAGTAACACCGGAACAGTCAGATCTGTTTGATTGCAATTCGATCAGTTGGATTTGCGTGTCTGAACTGTTCAGTCTCATGATGGCCTTAAACATGCTGCTTCCTAGCCTACGATAGATTGCTGACGCTGATTTAGTGCAATGGTTCATTTTAGGCGACAATATTCTGACAATGCGGGATCATCTGCGCCAATTTTACCAAGCTGTTGACCTTGTGAATAGGGCTCCTGAACAATAAAAATTCCAGGATGCTGTTTCCAACGCTACCAGTGAACAGGCAGTCACGATAAACGAAGTTCAATTCGAAACTATTTCTGGTGTAAATTGAATGATTGTACGCCACATTGATTGACAGAATTATCTGTTTAATCTTCTGGAATCTAACATCGCATTGCATGCGTGAGATATCAGCGATCAACGGTATGCTGATGAAAGCAGGATGCTCGGCACAGACAAGCATAAGCGGGTGTACATCTTTGTGTGATAACAGAGGCAAGACAGCGCTTCTGTCAAGTTCACAGTTGTTGTAATGATTGCTTGATATTCGAAACTTATCTAAGGAAACTAAACCAGCTTTTCAACCACTACTAGAAAACTTGATCCTGATGGGACTATGTATACGCACCAGTTTGCCCCCATATGCCCTGTCGACTCACAGATTTCGCTGACAACTCCCCACAGGGCAAGCAAAAAAGGAAGTGCAAGCATTTTTTTACACATAAGAATATATTCATACAAAAACACTTTCTCCAATTTATACTGCCATTCCTGAGCTTCAGCATTGATTACACTGGAGAGGGTTGGATGGGAGTAAAGAAGGAGAGTGGACTGACAGCAACAAAAGTTGAGGTCCCTGAGGCTGTGCAAGAACACACGACGGAACGTGACCCTGATTCCTCAAAAATTGCAAGAATCCACCAATGAAGTGAAACGTATTTGTGAGAAAAAATAGCCATGTTTAAGTGCAGTTAAATTGGCCTTTAAAAAGCAAAGCCGAAGATGGTCAAAACGCTTAAAAAGGGGTTTCCTGAGTGAGGACAAATCAGTGAATACGAAAGGACAGGAGCAGTATTAGAAGAGGTAGAGAATACTCGACGTTGCGTGTCAGTCGCTTGGCATGATTGTGCTCGTGAATAGCCGACGACTAGTAGTAGGTCTCCCGTTCGACCCAATTGCCCGGAGGCAGGATCCGCAAAAGCATCTTGCGCACCTCGTCGAAGACGAAGATCATCACGCTAAATGGCAGGGCTGGAAGCCACCAAGTCCATCTAGAAAGAACAAAACGTGCAATTAAACGCGTATCCAACACGCTGGTAATACTCACCCTGTTACTATCGCTATTATTAGTGTTGGTAATGTGGAAAAGGTTGACATTAAATTTAGAACCAAACACCTACCGAAGGGGCATCATTCGCAGGAGAGTGCTAACACCAGGGCAATACGCCAGAACGATAGCCAGGGTGGTCTCGAAGAAGAGACTGAAGGTCAGCTGGTGGTTCCGCATGCCCTGTTGGAAGATAGAGTTCTTGCGGGTTTTGCAAATCAACAAGTCCGTCCACTGGACTATAACAATGGCAACAAAGAATGCGGTGTGACAGGTGTACTCGAGGCGTTTGCGTTGTGTGTAGGTCCATTCCTGGCCGTAGGAGTCAACAACGTCGTTAACGATACGCGATTCCCACTTTTGGCGCAGACCTAACAGGTGCCTCGGCCAGAAACCGTTCTCGGCCATAACAACAAAGTATACGAAGAAACCGGCGGCGGCTTGAATCATCCCGATCTGACCGTAGGCCATTGAGATTAGACGCTCGTTCACGAGCTTGTCATGGGAAGGATCACGCGGCATACGCTTCATTATGTCGCTTTCTGCCTCCTCGTGTGCCAAGGAGATGGCGGGAAGCTAAAAGTGTTCAAAGAAAAATGTGCAGAGTAAGTCAGCTAGGCATTACTGAGCTACACTCTTCTTGCTGCCAGATGAGGCAGTCAAATTGATACTATTTGCACAAAAATCACACCGCAGAGTCATGCCTTACCATGTCAGTTCCCACATCAATGCAAAGGATTGCAATGATACCCAATGGAAGGGGTATTTTAAACAAGACGAAGAAGAGGAATGGCGTGATCTCCGGAATGTTGGAGGTCAGAGTGTAGGCGATCGACTTCTTCAAGTTATCGAAAATTATGCGACCCTCCTCCACACCCGTCACAATTGACGCGAAATTGTCATCCAACAGGATCATATCTGCAGCCTGCTTGCTCACGTCGCTTCCCGTGATACCCATTGCCACGCCAATGTCGGCTTTCTTCAGAGCTGGAGAGTCGTTCACTCCGTCACCGGTAACAGCTACAATGGCACCCATTCGCTGGAAACCTTCCACAATAATTAGCTTCTGTTGGGGTGATGTTCGCGCAAACACTATCTCCGAGTGGTTCTTGAGCACCTCGTCAATCTGAGCTGGAGTCATGTCACGTAAATCTGAGCCGTGGATCACACAAGCACTGGCCTCCCGAGGGTTCACCTCACTGACGGGAACACCACGTTCGGCGGCGATGTCTTCAACAGTGCGATTCCCTTCCGAGATTATACCTACCTGCTTGGCAATGGCCTTTGCGGTAACTGGATGATCACCAGTCACCATGACCACCTTAATACCAGCGGAGCGACACTTTGCTACGGCATCAGGTACCGCAGCACGAGGAGGATCAATCATGGACATCAACCCAACGAATCGCATGCCTTCGATCGGGAAGTTTTGTTCCTCAACATCAAACTGAAAGCCGCTGCACAAAAAACAAGTTTCGCATTACAAATCACAATACTACTTAGTTACAGAAGCAGAAGCCGTTCCCATTGGATAACAAAGATGAAATACAATTCTAGAATAATAAATAAGTATAAAGGCTACTAGGGCGATGTCATCATGTCACCCTGAACACATTGCTATATTCCAGGCAGAAATAATCGTTTCGCAGCTGATTTGAAAGGGCGTTTCGTGGGCAGTTACTTTGACATTACCAATGAAACAACAAAGGGGCCTCCAGCGAATTAAGTTGGGAGCAACCAGTGCACTTTTACTAGCAAACGTAACGATGTGCGATATTGAAGCAAAAAAAGGCACAAGCCTGGTGTATTTATAATTAGGGCTCTTTCACGCAGAAACTATTGACTTATTTACTGAAATCGTTTACCATTATATTCAACTTCCACTGTTTCGTGGTATTCGACAGAGGATCCACTCACCGAGGGAACTTGTCGGCTGGCAAACGAAGGTCGCAGAAGCCAAGCACACGTTCACCAATGCCACCCAGTTCCAGGTAGGCGTTGTTGAAGTTCTCTCTCCACTCGTCGTCCATGTGCAACTCCTGCCCGTCAATCAGGATTGTCGAACAACGATCTAGGATGCGTTCTGGGGCACCCTTCATCACAACTAGGTATCGGTCGTCGCCGTCGTTCGTCTCGTGAACACTAACCTGGTACTTGTTGGTTGAGTTGAAGGGGATCTCCGCTACCTTTGGGTTTTCAGAACGGTACTTCGTCACACCACCAATCGACAATTCCACGCACTTCAGCAGAGCCGACTCAGAGGCATCACCACTGCACTCACGTTGTAGCACGGGGTTTGACTCCTCGCCAGGTTTGAATTCGGCGTGGTTGCACAGCATGGCCACACGCGAGAGAGCCATCCACGTGCTTGAGTCCCGGTTGTAGGTTGCGCCTTTAAAACGACTTGCATTTAACTTTCAGCATTATGGAAATACGTATTACATGTTGACTGATCAAGGTAGTCAGTAGGCAATATACGTTCAAGGAAAATGGAACAATTATGATCCCTAAAATTTGATTTAAACGGTTTCGAGATGTAGGGTGCAAAATCAGTACATTGAAAATGAGTCTGTGGTTTATTTAGGATTAAACACAAATTTGAGGTTGGTAGGAACTGCTGAATTTACAACTTATGCGAATTTCTTTAAAATTCAAGCATGGATTCAGCTTACATGATTGATCGTCAGAAGTGTCAGCTTCATAGATCTTGTTATCGAACCACAGGTGGGCGACAGTCATGCGGTTCTGTGTCAGCGTGCCTGTCTTGTCTGAACAGATCGTTGACGTCGAGCCCAACGTCTCCACTGCCTCCAAGTTCTTCACCATACAGTTCTTTCTCGACATGCGTTTTGCAGTAAGAGTAAGGCAGAGAGTTACTGTAGCCAGTAAACCTTCTGGCACGTTAGCCACGATGATAGCAATCAGGAAGATGACCGCTTCTAGCCAGTAGTAGCCCAGAATGAAGGCAATTATGAAAAACGAGACACCGAGGGACACTGCCACTCCCGTTATGATCTGAATGAAGTGTGCTATTTCACGAGCAATCGGAGTCGCCCCCGTCTCCAGACCCGACGCGAGGTTGGCGACACGACCCATGACCGTGCGGTCTCCGGTCGCCACCACCACACCTCGACAAGTGCCTTCCACGGCGTTCGTCGAGAAGAATGCCAGGTTCTTCGTCTCCAAGGGGTTCTCGTTTGTGTACTCGGGAGTACGGCTCTGCGGCTCTGATTCGCCAGTCAGTGCTGAGTTATCAACCTGAAACGCGTTTTGCACGAGTTGTTAGTCCACAAAAAAAATCGGACCAGATATTAAGAGGGTTGCGTAGGCGCCCCACGAATAAACTTTAATTGTTTTGGAAAGGACCACAAAACTGCCTGAAAGACATTAGCGTGGTTGATGAGATTTTAGCAAGCCAATTAAAGGTTACTTCTAATGATGCTTACCTTGAACGAACTCGCTTTGATCACACGAATATCAGCCGGGACGCAGTCGCCAAACTTTACATCAATTATGTCGCCAACGACCAGAGCCTCTGCTGGAACGTCAATCCTTTTTCCTTCACGAATCACCACGGCATACTACATAATGGAAACTACTGTAGAAACAAACTAACCATATTCGCCAGCAGTACACACAAATTGATTAAAAATTCATAAAATAATGAAACGCGAAATGGATCTCAGCTAGGTTACCGTAATAGGGACGTTCGATAAAACTTGTTTAACAAGAACAACGTCATTATCGAGGTAAATAAAATTAGTAAGAATGCAGTCAGCCCTGAAAAATTTGACATTATTTTATCGTGGATATCGAAAATCAGCCGTGAGCGTACCTGTGGAACCATTTTGGCGAAAGACTCCATAATTCTTGAGGACTTGGACTCCTGGTGGTAGGAGAAGCACCCAGTAAGAAAGACAACGGTGGTCAACGCGATACCAATGTATAACTGCAAACAGATTTAAAAATTTAACACATATACATCGGCAAACAAACTAAACATTTTGAGTTCGTAAAAGCTAGATGTTTTCCAGCGTGCGTGCACACAACAAGAACTAATCTACTCCTTTGTAATATCACTTGTAGGAAACATTGTGGATCCTCTTTAATCTTGCATTAAATATGAAAGTGCAAGGACGAGGCATCGATACCACCAGAACTCACATTATCTCCACTTGGGTTTTCCTGTGTGCCGGTAACAATCCCGTGAGCAATAAAACAGAGGACAGCACCAATCCACAATAGTGACGCGAAGCCGCCAAACATATTTTTGCAAAATCTTACCCATTCGGGAGTTACCTTCGACGGTGTTAGAGCATTTGGACCATCACGATCTAAACGGGTCCTGGATTTGTACTTGTAGCACAGTCATGTAACTTACTTTGCCTGCTCACTAGTAAGACCAGTCTCAATATTTGTTTCAAGACGTTCACAAAGTTCGTCCAAGGAAATCTGATGCTCATCCGTGACAAGCTCTTGTTTAAGTTCGTTTAGGTCTTCCACGGCATGTTTATGTGACTCCGTTGCACCAGTATGCTTGTCCCCACGCTTTAAGAACAAGAATATGTTGAAATTAAGGGCAAAGGTAAAAAATGTAAGGAACCATAATGGACTATCTTACCGATTTCCATATCTTCGCAAACCAACCCATGTTAACCACTTAGTGAACCAAGCGTTGTCGAAAATGTGGATGATAGATCTCGTGTCACATTAGCTTGGTATAACAAAGTAAAACACGATAAATTAAGTAATCATATTAACAATATTTTATAAGTCTAACAGTAATTTTAAGTTTTTAGGTATATTTAATTTTTATTATGTAGGAGAAAATTTTGTCATCTAACTACAGAAAGTCGCGAAGAAGTTTGATCATCTAGGATTTGGAATTTTAAAAATAGGTTTTGTTATGTTTTTCACATTAAGATTTTCCACATGTTTTATGTTCCAGATAAATCAAAAGAAACGGTATTAATTTTGGTTACCATGCGTCACTGTAGAGCTAGCTTATGCTATGTTTTGTTTGGGCTAATTTTTTTAAATAATTTTTTAAAGACAATACAATTTTTTGCAATAAGGAAGACTTAGTTCTTAAGTTTTAAACAAAAAGAACTGTTGAATTTTTTTAAGTATGTCTCAGAAACTGCAAAATTTTCGATGATTGTGTATGCTTTTCTGAGATTCCACATATAAACGTCAATTTTAAGCGTAGATCTCAATTCCCGACAATAATTTGCTGATATCACACTGCCACTTGTTGCTGAAAGAAACATAATTTTCACAGCGCACGAATGCTATAAAAATATTTTAATGATTTTATTTAGTTGTTACCAAAATCTCTTTCATATTCGGTGCGATGATATACTGGAAACGTTGTCTCATGCGGATGGCTCGATATGCAAAACGGTTCATTGTTTTCATGCTGTGTCTGGTCTACAATATTACTAATTTCACAATTATTATGGGTTGAGACAATCCAAATTATTTTGGCCAGAACTTTGTTTAAGTTTTTCTATTGAATTCGTGCAGATGTCCGCTTGATATATTTACGCTAACAGCTGGATAGAGTACTAACATTAAAGATAACGATAATGTAATTTAGGCACATTCAGCACCATTTTGGCTATTGGTTGAGCATGGTGTGTCTTCAAGCGTCTTCGTGCATTCATTATTGCAGAACCTTTATATAATATCACAGAATTAACCGTAATTTTGTTACTTCAATTTGCTAATTTGGAATTTGATGTTTCCCACTTCTGGTTAACATTTGCCACAAAGAATTTTTTTACGATGAGAAGCAAATTGATTAAATCCGTCTTGGAAAAATTATTCAGGCTCTTTGGGAACATACCATACTTAATAAAAATTGGCAGTATTTAATTCTTTTACCTTGCATGTCGGCTTATGTGTATGTTTTATTAGTAGTAACTTAATCGTGATCGCAATTCTAATCCAATTTTGTTCATAGGACAATGATTTAACGACTGCTGTCTTGTGTTGTCATTAGGCCATAGTTTCATAAAATCTTCCTCGTGGCATGGAAGACGAACCTTTTAACTCATGCAACTTCGAATAAGTCGTGTCAAACAATTGAGTCGTGTTGAACGGCCTTTGGCAGCAGTAAAATATTTACATTAAAATCAAGTGGTGCTGTATCTTGGTAAACAATTGCATTGTTTTAACACAATATGAATACCTGAAGTGCCTAAGTAGGAAGAAGAAGAGCCAATTATTTCACGCGACAATAACAGTTAATGGTTACAAGGGCGTAATCATTGAAGTCAACAGAAATGTCGCTACACAGAATTCCTTTAAGGACGCCAGCTAAGTCTTCCAGGATGACTACCGTATAATGAAAAATGTGTTCAAGAATCAAAGTACCACACATAGTGGTACGTGGTTCAGCGGTTGCATAAACGTCGTCTTCAATGTACTATTGTCAGGAGTGCTGATGTCCCGTTTCCAGTTTAGAATAACTTTACATTTAAGTCTGACACGGTCCCTTGGTACTGTAATTTCGTTATGATGAGGTGTGCCACACGAGAGACTCATTTTTTGGTCACGTGTTGTACTAATCAGAGCATATTTGGGTTGTAATATAACTGTTAAAAAACCTTCAATTAGAATGCAACGTTCCAGCGAATCAATTTGGCTTTAGAACCCGTCAAGGCATCAATGGTTGTTGACTCGTGAAAGACGGTTCTGGTAAGAAGAAATGAATGTTTTATTTACTGAAATTAGGATAGGCGAGAGAGCATAGTTAGCAAGTGTGTGCGAACACCATTCAATCGATTTACGTGAATGCACTTCACACAATCGATATTAATCGGCACCATATGAACTGACGCCTTATTACCTTATACAACCCCGCTACTACAGCATTAATAAACCACTCAAACTACACGTTATCTGCGTTTTCCTTGGGTGTTTTGCGTTGTATCTGTCGATTTTTTTAAACAGATAGCTTGAAGCAGCACAGTTAATGACGACTATTTGAGTCAACCAGGTGGAATCCAGCAACATTTGTAGTTCAAATAAAGTGAAATTTCCGCCAATACACCCCCATAAAGATGATGCTCGTGATGAAACGAGTGGTGGAAAAGAACAGGGCCTCATCCAACTTGTTTTGATTGGCTAATCCTCCTCTGTTGATGGCGCAGCCTGCACGCCACTCTACTTCAGGAAACAAGTCTTATTCGTCTAGGCATTCGGATTGAGAGCCATCCTAATGGATTTCCAAGTTGTTTTAATTGATTAACTGCCATGCCATTCCGTGACCTCACATGGTTAGTCGATCTGTTTACTCGCGATTAGAGAGATTTAAATTATTGATGCGTTTGCCAGAAATGTATGACAACAACTGAAACGGATTGCGGATTAGTCTATTTCTGCACATGATTGATCTTCCTAAATTGTCTACATCTTCTTTGTAAGTACAAATTTTAATCTCCCGACCAAAGTTCATGTTCAAGTTGTTGCTTACACACTTGAGTCTAGAATTCGACTCTACTCTGCACACACACACACACACAGCGCCTTGCATCCACAAAGTAGTTGTCAAATAGCTGCAAGAAAAGTTGCAGTCATCTGTCAAACACCTTTCAAATACCAACTTAGATCATGCTTCGCAGTTTTATGAAAATATGTGCTAGATTTGTCCCCTCACATTCGTCCTTTTATCTAGGTTGTACAAGACAAGCGTTCTTCATCGAAGTAGAATCAAGCCACCTAATTGTGGTGAATGATTTTCCATTAAGCTGGTTGGTTCAAAGCGCCGGCCAATGAGAATTGTTCGAATATCCATGACCTAGCAGGTGATCTGTGTTCATCCAAAAACTGGACGACATCCTAACGTAAGTTCAGATATTTTTTGCAATTTCATTAAATTTGTATTTAAGCAATTGGTAGCAGGTACAGAGTGAAATGTTTTGCCCAGTCTCAAGAAATGAGCGCATAGGTTGTTTTCTTAAGCTGCTCTTTCAGGCTAAAAGTGCAAAAATTCAGATTTCAGGAAAATTCGTCGTGGCAACTGACTATTCACAATTTGCTAACACAAATTCGTTGAAATCACGACGTCATTTGTGCAAATGAACATCCAAGTCCATGATGATGTCAACAAAGAAGGAGTTTAACTTAAATTGACACCGAAAAATGCCTCTAGAGTGTGAATAAATCCTAACTAAACTGATTCAAACGTAAGACGTTATCAAATTATGGAAAAAGTGTTGTTCTTTTTTGAATTTTAACACTCAGTAGGCAGTGATTTTTTTTAATTTTATAAACTGGTGATTTAATGGGCAGAGGTGCTTTTACGATGGGACGTGAATTCACAAAAACGTCTCAAATGACCCAAAGTAGCCTTTATTGCTGTTTGTGTGGCCAAAATGGCTTCTTCATATTCTTTTTTCAAAGGTAACAATTTTGGGTGATTACGAAAGTGCCTGTCTGCTTTATGAGTCGACGTAGCCTTTAAAATTAGGTTTTTTTAAAATTATTTATGTGCAAGATTAGTTCCAGCAATGCATAATGGAGAGTTATGTTTCTGTAATGATGTGTTGAATGAATTCAAGTGGAGATAGATGTGATAGAAATGCAATAAAAATATTATTTTAGGCGTTCATCTAAATCGTTCTCCGTCTCGTTAGTCAGCAGGAGAAGCTCTAGTTTATTCCAAAATGGCGACTTTAGTCTAGAAGTGCGATAATGCGTTCAGAGTGCTAATACCTAATACTATTCCAGAAGTGATCGTTGATAGACCAAGTTTTAGTAGTTAGGTTGAATTTTGACCTTTAAAGCAACTTGGACACCCCAACTCGACATCAATGGGTGGATTTTGAGTGTCTCGACAGAATGTAACAAACTGAAGCGCATTCCAACAACCATTTTCTTATTACCCGTCACCAAGACAAATCTTTAATTGATCATTTCAAAGCTAGAGGTGAATCGTTTATGTGAATTACATCGTTTTACGAAAAAGAAGCCGAAAGTAGAGGTTGGAAAGATGTTGTGTGTCTGTAAGGGGAGGTTGCTGTGAAAGCATTTTGTCGGAATTCGGTCGATTGTCAAGGCATCATCTTGCATCATGTCGAGGTGCTGAACGTCTCAACGACGCGCGTCGTATTCCCCTGACCACGCATTCACATTTCAAGCAGTTTTGTCCACTGCAACGTAGTTGAAATGGCAAAATGATTCCATGGATATAGTCAAAGACTGTGCTATGCAGCATTCTTTAAAGAGCAGTCAAAACTTGTAAAACGGAAGACAGTTGGGGGAAATCACGGAGAACACTGTATTGATTATTTATATACTATGTTTTTTTTTCCATGAAACTGCGCTGCTTTTTAATTGAGATTCACACCCGATGCGAACTTTTCAACTTTCCGTTAGTTTGACTTGCAAACAACTACATGCCAGTTTTGATTTTGTACATAAAAAATGCACATCGGCCTTACCAGGAGATTAACTAAGGCATCATGTAACTAGGTTTGGTTTGTGTCGGATATTTAAAGCTGTTAGGGAACCAGCATTCCCCAAGACGGCTTATCGCGGGTTAGGATTTCGTCTTTGTTTGCTCGATTTCCAGTGGGTGAGTCACCCACGGGATCCTGCTGACAGTTAATCCGCCTTGATCCATTAGGTCAAGGTCAACCTGGA